GCAGGGAGCCCGATGCGGGGCTCAATCCCAGGACCCTGAGACCATGACCTCAGCCGAAGGCAGACGCTTAACAACTGAACCACCCAGGCGCCCCAACACAGTCATCTTTTAATGGACAGTAAACGGAAAGATGTTTATCCGCTCCAAGTCCATCAGCTCTGAAGACCACATGACAACTCTGTGCTCCTAAGGCACTTGGCTTCCTCGAGCCTCTATTTCAATGGGCACCCACTGTACTGTGTGTGCAGACTCATCTTTGTTAGAATGTATTCTTCCTTGGAGAAAGCTCTGTAGCTCTCTGACAAGGGTCCTGACACCATGGACCACTGCAGGTTTATGATGCTGACCACATGAATGCATCCTATGGCCAGGGTGGCCTTAGGTGAGCAATCCTGAGCAATGTTAGCAGAGCAGGCAACAACTTCCTGCAACCTTCAAGTCAGAGCTTTTCCCTCAGCCCAGCCCCGAGCCAGCAGGAAATGTGAGTCATGCTGCCTTCACCTGTCCCTGCATGGAGGGAGCATGACACTTGACTCACTTTTACTTCTCAACTGGAAAAGAGTAATATTTGTATGGCCTGGAAATGCACTCAAGAGGCTGCAAGTTGATGTTCTGAGTGTGCATATCTTAGCCTTTTCTTTTACTACTGCTGAAAAAAAAAAAACACCCAAAGATGTGCCAAACTTTCTAGTATTTCAAAGTAAATTTAAAGGAGTCCTGCTTTTTAAAACTGTGGTCATTTTCCATTTACCTAAAAGTCAATGGTTAGCTACCAAAATAATCACAGTTCTGCCAGACTTCTCTGCAGTGATCTAGAAGGTCTTGAACTTCTTATCCAGCCTCAGAATTCCCTGGTACACATGCACTTTGGATTCGCAACTCTCTGCAGTGGGATCTGTGAGACAGCGACTGCCGTCCAAGTCAGCAGGTCAGCCTCTGCGAGGCCCTGATCACCACTGGTCTGAGCTCTTCTGGTATAGCTTTTTTGCTTTCCCTCTGATTTTCTTCATAGTCCTCTTTTTAAAACACATGCCATCTTCTATAAAATTATCAACATAAACTAACCCATGAGAGCATTTCCTGTAATGTGAACATCTGCATGCTGCTTTGAGATCTGGGATGTGGGGGTAGCATGTTCATCCTTGAGGCAATCCTACCTTGCCTGAGTCATTCAGCAGATGGTAATCAGGGCATCCAGGTAACTTGGGAGTGGCATCTTGTATCAGAATCCTGCTTAGGTTTTGACCTGTTGAATCAGTCTATGCCTTTGAGAAATGATGAAATCTTTTAAACATTCTGGTTGGCATTTACCTCTTAAAAACAGCAGGGTGCATGCACATTAGAGCGAGGCAGATTTGAGTTCAGACTCTCACTTCTCCAACCTATTAGTTCTTTGACCCGGGCTGGCACTAACCCTCTCCACACCTCAGCTACCTCCTGTGTAAAATGATGAGCATTATAGACTGTTGTGAGGGTTGACTGGAAGAACCACATTAAAGCACTCAGTCCGATCACTGTTGCTGAAGATGCCGGGGAAGGGCCAGCTTCCATCCTCACCTCAGGTGACAAGCTTCTTCCCACAGAGTCAGGTCCTCCCAGGTGCAGGGCTAAAACTGGGCTCCATGCTTCCTTCCTATCAGAGAAACTTCTGGCCCTCCCCAGTCCCAAACATATCATCTTCCCCACTATGCAGGAAACACCCTAAGCTGCCCTAATTTGACCTCAATGTCCTCAGGGCGGGAGTTAAAGTAAAATGAAGAATTTGGCATCCAGATGTGAATTAGTCAAGGCTCCCTGTCTTGGGGTGTCCAACCTTCCCAGCTTATTGCAGACTGAAAGCTTCCCCGGGACATGAACTCAGTGTTAACACCAGAAAGAGGGGGAAACAGGACCAGCGGATCACCTTACTAACACTCACCTACCTCAGGCAGGGCTCAGAACGAACCCTGGACAGATGAGGAGAGGTCCATCTTCTAGGCCCCGGCATACCAGGCAACTATGTGAGCTTGGATCTTGAGTTTCCCCAGGGAGTTGGGAGGGTGGAACCATGTGATCTCTAACATTACTATGCTCCTGACCGAGTGGTCTGTGCCCATCTCAGCAGAAGCCCACACGAACCTTCTCTTGTTGGCACCCCCACGCACCTCCAAGGGAAACAGTGTGAGAGCACCCTTGGGCACCTTGGATGTGCTCCCTTTCTGAGCTGGGGATGCTGCAGTCCTGACTTGCCAAACAGCTTAGGAAGGAACACGATCCTCGAGTGCTGACGGTGTCAGCCAGGTTCTGCCCAGCCTGCTGTTGACCTCCAAGGACGGCCCCAGAGACAGCTTCGGAGACCACCCAGAGGAAACACTGCCACTTCTCTGAAATTGCCCTGCTCTGGCCTGCAAGAGTCACTGCTTATTTGTTGTGTTGCCTTTTTTTATTCTGTCCCTCTGCTTGAAAAGTGGACTTCCTCTCAAAGCCAAGGAAAGGCTTGCGGTCCCTTACCAACAAACTTCTGGCTGCATATAGACCAAGGCCTTAAGTCCCATCTGTAATGTGTTCTGCTTTTTATCAGTTTAGACTTCGTAGCGTTAGGCTGTAATGCTAGGCTGGTAAGACTTGCTAGTAGTCATCCAAGGTGAAGGGCCTCTGGGATGACAATAAAACTCTGGGGAGGGGGGGAGTGTCATTTACAATTTGCCTGTTTCCCTTCTCTCTTGCTTGATTTTTTTAATATGATTTGGACTTTTGAGTTCCCTGTGTGGTTCAATCTGGCCACCAAATAGAAACCATAAACCAAAAAGGTCATATTGAAATTTATAAATTAGGGTCATAGTGCCGCTCGGTGTATCTATTTCCTTTCTCTCCTTCCTTCCCTCCCTCGGTCTCTCCTTCCTGTCCTTCAGTGTGCCATCTGTCTTTGTCATCTATCTGCCTGTCTATCATATATTTTATCTATGTATCCACCTATCTATCCATCTATCGATCCTTATGGAATATCTGACCCCCCACGAGAATGTCAGCCCATGGTGGTAGGAAGCTTGGGGACTCCCCAGTGCCTCATGCAGTATTTGGCTCCTCAGTAAATGCATGTGGGTGAATTCTGCTTGACATCAGAGGGCTGTCCTGGATGACCGTCAACATTGCTCAGGAGCACAGAGGTTTCCATACCATCAGGTGGACAGCAGGACATGGGGTTAGTTTGCAAGGTGGTGTCCTGTTCTGGCACTTGTAACTAAGAGTCCTACTTAAGCTAAAAACTGACCATACCTCAGGCTACACTGAAGCCAAAATCCAGGTCTTTCCATTTCTGTTCCTATGGTTCAGGTTATCACTCTCTAAGGAAATTAATATTCTATTTTGACCTAAAGATGAATAGTTATTAACGGTTTAATACATTCTCCCCTTTAGATAGAATTCTAATTTTATGACAATTTTCAAGGAGATAACATGAAGAGGACAATCAATTGAGGAATTTGGGTATTGTAGCAGACATAATGAGGAAAGTATCATTGGGTAGGAACACATTTTCTGGTGTGTCTGCATTTTCTCCCCATCAACTGCTCCCTGATACTTCCATGGCCGGAATTATAAGCTCTTGGTTGAGAACTCAATTTCCTTCTTGTTCAGTGTTTCCAATCTGGAACATTCAAATATTATATAAATCTATTTCATTACTGAAAATGCAAGCAAAGTTTAAACACCTCACTCTGTTGCTTCTGTTTTGCTGAATTTTCACAAAGAGTAACTGAAAGGTGAGAACTTAAGTTTACCTGAAGGAAGGACCTGGCGTGTGTTATCTGACTGTTTCTCGACCTCTACCTAAGATAGCTCCTACAGTGCCTGGGGGATTGCCCATTGTCTTCATGGAAATGCAGAGCGGTTCATATCACTTCTCCAAAGAATGCCTTTTTTAGATGCTGGCCTAGGTTTCACTGCAGGACTGAAATGGAAGCCAGTCTGGCCCAGTCAGGGCAGTGACTTAGGGACCAAGCTGCCCTTCCAGCCTCCACTACCTCCCCAGTCTGAGCAGATACTGAGAGCAAAGTTGGTGTTCATAGAGTTTGCCTTCAATCTTCGAACTCTAATGAGTTAACTAACATGAAAGGTTATAAACTGTGCTTTCTTATTTATCTTTGGGCCCATTTTCCAATATTGATATTAATAAAGATGGGTAAAAAAATATTTTTAAGCAAAAGACTGATGAAACAAAGATAAACAATGTGCTAAATATTCAAGACTGTTTTGACTGCATTCCATCTGCAGGGAGAGCCAGAGACTTCCATGCCCTCTGACCTGCCTACACTGGACTTGCCTACATTGGACTTGCCTACAATGCTTCCTCATCTCTGCTGATAATCTGACATTAGGGAGAAAGGGAGACAACAGAAGACATGAGTGATACAGTATGCACACTCTGGCTTCAATGTCTTTACTCTGTACAGATTCAAAACCAGTAATAAATGAGAAAAAATACTTTATTTCTTTAATACAGAATACATCATATTGCACTCTAGTTGCAGGTAGTGTGTAGAAAAAACTCTGTTTACAAAACCACCATAACAGTTGCCTGGGCCTGATGTTTTATGGCATCACCAACCATAACCATGGCACTGAACTTTGAACCTACTGAGAAGGGCAATGTTTAATAAAGCCTTCTTTTTATTTCAGTATCACTGACCAGCGTCAGGACCAGTGACCAGTCCTCATTTTGAAATGAGGAAACTTTACAGTAACATAAATACCTCTCAGTCAGAGGCACTGTTAATCTGTACCCATATATTAGTGAAATAGATACTGTCAAGCTATCTTTCTTGCTTTATCAATAATTATTTCTTTTCATTGTATTTAATCATATTATTTTACATGCTATTCTTTCACGAACACATGAAACTATTTCATAGCTGTAACTATTGCTATCCTTGTGAAAAATAATTACAAGCTTTTGTTTTCAGACTGAGCTGCAAAGTTTGATTTTCTCAATGTCATTCAGCAAATTGGGGTAATTCAGGATGAAGAAGGGACTTCTCACCTCCACCCATACTCTTGGAACCTGACTCTGAGGCACGAATCTCAGTGGAAGAGAGGGAGTATCCCTGGATCTTGTTGGAGCCCAGGGAAACGCTGTTCCTCTTCTTCAGGCCCATCTCTGAGATCTGCTTCTGAATTCACTCCAGCTGAATTCTTCCCTGTACCTCCACTGAAGCACAGATGCTTCTGGAAGATCTTGGTGTTTTTGAATACAACCAGCTTGTTTCTATTTTTTTATCTATTATATGCATTATGAGTCTGCACCATTATGATCTAAGGTAAATAGGATCAAGGTTCATCCTATTCTGACAGTAGAAAGGCACAAAACAGTTTTACCTAAAGCATTGACATGTACACTTAATGGAACACCTCTAAATAAGGGAACTGGGTATATGTCAAAAGCCTGTAAAATGAATTTTTAAACTAACTGCAATCCATTGAACAGTAAAATAGCAGCATTTTGAGAGGAACAATTGGGGGAAAATTCTTAAAGCATGGAATCTGTTGTCTTGAAATAGAGTCTACGATGAGAAAGGTACATTCGTGGGCCAACAGAGGCTCCAAAAACGCATATATATGGGATTATTTGAAAACAAATCACTATGGTACTGAGCACTTTATAGAGTAGTGAGTACTATGTTTACCGTCAGAAGTGGGATATCCAATGAAACAACGTACACAAAAACATAACCTAGGAGAAAATGATTTAAAACCATACTGATAAAAACTAAAACCATATCATGTTAAGGAAAACTATCTGAAGACCAATAACTGTAAAAATAAATATTAAGGTGCTCAAAGACCTACTCTCACAGTAAAAGTTACATAATAGAACACAATATTAAACAAGTACATGAACATATCAAAATGGATTGGTTTATAAAATGTTCTACCATTGAGAAACCCATTGTTCTCCCCTCCATATTCTTCTCCATAATAATTTTGTTCCTGAGGAGATGTATTTTGTTAAAACACAGTAAGCTTTGAAAGAGTCAACTGGGTTACATATTTTCTTTGGGTTGTCATCATTGATATAAAATTTCTCTCCAAAGGCTCTAAATCTGAAATCTGTGCAGTCTGGGTGTCAGGACTGGGTGAGGGTCACAGTAACTGCCTACCGACAGCATTCTGATCCTGGAGTTGGTCAGCTGCCCAGAGGCTGACCCTCTTCTCAAACACATCCTTTGCAGAAAAGGATGAGCTGGTGCCAAATCTGGGATGACTGCATGATCCATGGAGGTGGCAATTAGACAAATGGGCAGGGTGTGTTCTGTGGAACCTGGGGCTCTCCTCTGCTTTGGGCAGTTGGGAACCAGAGCCTTGTGGAGGCATGCTCTACAGGGTGCAAAGGAGGCAGGCTGCCATGGTTGTGAGGGAAGGGAGCTCCTGAGTCTCCTGCCAGCTCCCGAAAAAAGGCATTTTTAGCGGTATCAACTCTAACTTCTCTTTTAATGGCACGTCCACACGTCTGCAACCCAATGAGAGTGGCATTACTAAAATAACTTTAAAAGTACTTTCTGCAGTTTAAGTGGCAGTGATGCTCAGACGTGGAGGTGTCCGTGTGAGCATGTGAGTGTATGTTTACTCTTTGTTAGCCACACTGTTAAAATAGAATACACCTTCTCATGATTACAGAACTTTGATTTAATTGGTGCCAAACAGTCCAGATTGATTGAAAGCAGTAAATCCTATGGCATTCATGCTTGGCTTTCATACTCTTTGCCTTTCTTTTTTCTTTTTTTAAAATCAATTTAGATATCATTAAAATGCATCATGGTACTTTTTTGCCACCAAGCCAGTCAAACAGATACCCCTGAAAATATTTTCATGCAGCTGTCGCCTCCTCTGCTGCCCTCTGGAAGCAAGGATAGAGGCACCTCAAGCAAGAAAATATCTCCCAGAGCTTCAGCTGTGTCTTAACAGCTACAACCCAGCTAATTTCCAAGTTCCATATTCCCCTTTCTCCATAGCATTTCAAACCTTCTGAATTATGTACGCTTCTTCAATAGAGTGCTTTATTCCTGGGAAAACAGCAAACATGTGGTCACCTGGGTGCGTTGGACAAATCCTGTGGCACTGAGGATGGCCCTGGGGTCCCCAATCATCCAGGACATACTTCAAGGAGCCCCCACAGTCTGGAAGCCTTGCTTCCTGAGGAGTAAGGAAAAATCAGTGAATCAACACCAGTCAGTCTAGGCAACAGTTGTAAAGCCAAACACTATACTACGAAGCCTGGTCCTCACAGTCTTTGGTTTTGTGATATTTTCTGCATTTGAAATTTTGAAAAGAAGTTGGTAGCCTTAGCAAAGACAGCTATCATCTGGCTTCTGTGGCAGAACAAATATGTATCTCCCTGAGGCCTTTTTCTGGATTTTTAAATTTCTGTTTGCCTCCAATTACTCATGGGACAGTAAGAAAATTTCTTTTTAATGTTGGTAAGGCCAGTGCTAACTATCACACAGTTGGACAACAAAGTGAAAACAAGGCAGGCGGTCCAAATAAATATGTGAAGGCAAATGGATTCCACCCTTTTCACACATAAATCTCTCAGAAAGCCCCAGGGGCTGGCCTGAAGACAGAGAAGAGTGGCCTTCTAGCTACTCCAGCCACTTGTTCACCTAAAATCCACTCTCAGATGGTGACTGGAGAACTTCTCAGCTAGTCAAAAACGAAAGGAGCAGAAAGGCAGGAGCATCCCAGTTTGTCCTATCCCCCTATGGCATCTTTGATGAGACACAGTTCTATCCCACCAGCTTACAGGGGACTTCTACAGGTGCTCCGTGTTGTATCTAAGAGAAATGTGAGACTATCTGAGCTTTTTGCCTTGAAATTGAACAACATTCATCCCTAATTAGCCCAAAAAACAAGTTACCATTCTTTTACAACAACACTAACATCAGTAACTTCTATATTTTATGGGAAAGACAGAAAACCAGAGAGACCTAAATCTGGGCAGCCCTGCTGTTGTAAAGAACCAAAGGACAGAAGGTGACTAGCACCAGCAGATGAAGAACAGTGTTCACGAATCACACACTGAGACACAGAATGCCACAGTCACCCATGCAGAACTACTGCTCACGGATCCCCAGTGGGATTGCATACAGATTCTATAAGCTAGTCTCCAGCTCTGATAGTCTCAATTTTGAAAAGCAAGCATTTTTACTTTACATGAGTTTGAACTTCTTATTTAATTTTGGATGGGATATTTTTATTTTAATTTATTTCTATTTACCAAAGGAACAAAGGCCTCTATATAAAATACATTCGTTTTCCTTCCCACTTAGAAAGCACACCTTTGTTCATCTCTGATTTTCTGAATTTTTCATGAAATCCTAAAATGATTCCATATGGATTCTGACACAAATATCATGATAAACTAAAGAAAAGCTACTAGCTTGAATTCTTGTTTCCACAGCCTCCAGAAGTTATGAAATTAGTCTCAGACAAGTAAGCCTGTGAGGACAGGTCAGCTGCCTTTCTGTTCAAGCTGCTAGATGACCCTCGACAAGGGAGGTAGTGGCCGCCGTGCTCTGTGCTTTGGGTCCTGCCTCTCTCTGCTGGCTCTTCCTCTGAAGAGACCACCATCTGGATGTGCTGAGTTGAGGTCCTGTGGTCATGCACAGACTTTGCATAGTCCCATTAAGCTGGACAAAGCCCAGGGGAACTCACTTCCTCCATGACCACATAAGCAGCCAGCCTTTGGGTCTCCTGCAATGAATTTCAAAGAATGGGAACTATGGTTTTGGGGAGCAAATTTGTGAGGCCAATCTTTACAGTGCTGGTGAATGGCAACACACAGAACCGCAGGCAGACTCTTGGGTCACATCCATCTCCCTTCTCTGAGCAAAAACATAACAGCTCAGAAGGCAGATGACATTATCTTCCACTGGAACCAGCAGGATTAAGGGAGAGGGAAAACCTCTGCTCTCCTGCATAGATTCACGCTGGCAGTTTCTTAAACCTTCTGTCACTTTCCTCTTGCCTCAACTACTTTTCTTGGCCATAAAAGTGAATGTTCTCACAAGCTAACCCAACTTCTTCCATTTTTCATAGGCTCAAACCTAAAAGGGGCTTCAGAAGGTTACTTCCTAGCGGGAATCTTAAATTCTCTTGCAGGTCACTGCTTTGACATTGGAGCCTGGAGATGAGGGTGCATCTGAGTCTGGAGGGGTCAGAGGGGAGAGTGTGGATTTGTATGCTGTCAGGCTTTATTTTATTTTGTTTGTGCATCATCTTGTTACCTCAGCACTATTTATACCAACAATTCTACCTACCCTTTGTGCACAAAATACAGCACAAAGTTGGCAACCTGAGGGAACTTACTTTTAAGTTTACTTTTTACATACTCCAATAGACAATGGTTTTCTATTTTCCTTTTCTAGGTTCCAATCATAAAACACAGATATACAGATTAACTATACAGAATCAAAAAGAATAGAGGTTGGAAACGATCTGCCTATCTGCCTTCATTTTATGGACAATGGGAGGCTAAGGTGGAGGAGTGATTACCAATGGAAGACACCTCCCAGTCCCCCCACTTTAGTGCTCTACTAGACCATGTCCCTCTGGAACCATGCCAGTCCCCACAACTTTCCTCCTTGACACCAAGGCAGTCCTGATGGCTTGGGAGGAATGTATTCACCTCAGTTTCAAAAGACACTTTGTGAAAAGTACAAGCTAATGTGTTGTTATTTTTAATTTAAATGCTGACTATTTAATTCTAAGGCTGGCGAAAAATACAATAATATTCAATAAATTATATGGGAAAACTTAAGTCATGATTCCTCTGAATCCAATCTATTTCTCCTTGTTAATTTTTAAGTCTGTGCTTAGGCCATGGCTACTCAAGGAAGTTAGGCCTTTGTTCAGTCCTCAAACAGGTGAGCTGTGTACAATCACATCTTGTAGCAGCCTCCCCACCACTCTGAAGATTGATACTGTGTCTCCGATTGGTTTATATCAAGGGCAGACAAAAATACTTCCATCTCATGAATTTTGTTTTAATCTATAGCAAGTTGTCATCGAAGGGTAAGAGAAAAAATAATGGTGCAATGTTTAAATTCTTGGTTCCTAAGGAGAACCCCAAAAAGGTACCTTCTCTTCTCCCTTCACTACCCCCAAAATGCCCTCACCACATGTTCTTGGAAGGAAGAGTAGAGGTCACTAAGGATAAACATTCCTTAGTTCCTCAGTGAAAAAGAACTTGAGATCAATCCTGTGCTACCGGTGTCCAAGGGGAAGAAATTTATCTCCTGTGTGATCATAAGAGGTAAATAAACTATAGAATCACAGCCGTGCAGAGTTCTAAAACACCAGTTATAACTGAGCCCAGGCCCAGTTCAACAAACTGATGCTCCTTCTTGTGAACTAAGACTCTCCTTAGAAAGCTCTCCAGACAACTCAAACAAAATTTAGCCACGTGGAGACCTGTGCAGCTATATGAATGGCAAACTGTAAAGTTCTCCCTCTCTGCCAGGTTTGCTGAAGGCCTCCAGGAATGAGCTCAGAGCCTTCCGTTCTGCTGGAGAGGGGTTGGCAGTCCCACTCTAGGGTTACAGGTGGACCAGTAAGCTCTGATCCAACCTCAGGATGCCCACAGGTCAATTCACACAGACCCTAGAGCTCTCAGGCTATTTTCAACGCAGGAAATAATAGCAGGGCTGCAAACTGATCTCTGACGGAGCATTTTCTAACTCCGACTTCCCTTCTTATCGGAATTACATTTCCAGGCAGTTAGAAGCAAAACACTCAAAAGAAAGGGTGCTGGTCCTGCAGGGGACCTGGATTGGCGGCCCTTCCGCTCTCTTAGCAGTGGTCCTTGGACGCATGAGCCTCGGTGTCTTAATACGCAGGGTCCCTTGGACTGGATCCATCCAACCCGGCCACACCCACCAAGCCCTCACAGACACGCACACACAAAGACACCCCTCCCGGGCTTTCCGGATGCACACCTAGGGTCCAAGTCTCCCCAGAGCGCGAGCGGTCACTCCGGGCCTTGCAGCCCCTGGCCGGTCTTCTCCTTGGCTTTCTCACAGGTGTACAGCCACTTGATGATGCGGGCGTTCCTCTCGATGACCGAGGTGGTGCTGGGCACCTGCTCGGTCAGTTCTTCCTCCTGCAGTCCCTCTTCGCCGCCGCTGTGCCGGGAGAAGCCGCTGTCGGAGGTGGCGACGCTCACGCTGCGGACCTTGAGTGTGACGCGGGCCGACCCCGCGGAGAAATTCTCCCTCCCGAGATCTTCCACCACCTCAGGCTCCAGGCCGCAGAACTGGAAGAAGGTGTCACATTCGGCCACGGACGCTGAGTAGCGGGAGCTGAGGTCTGACTGCGATCGCTGCAGCCCCCCGCGCCTTGTCCCTCGCAGCTCCGGGACCCGGGACGCAGCCGGGACTCTGGTGGGCGTCCCACAGGGCGCTGCGCGCGCTGGGGGCGCGGGAACGCCGGGGACCGCGGAGGCCGCAGTAGGGCCGGGCTTGGTCAAGACAGCCTCCTCGCGCCTGGCCCTGACCTCCTCTCCCACCCGGGACGTCTCCGGGGGCACCGGCGTCTTGTCCTTGCCCGGCCCCTGGAAGAGCTTCTTCACCAGGCCCCCCCTGGAGCTGTCGGCGCCCTGTCCTCGGACGAAGTCGCATTTCTGCCGGTAGATGACCAGGGAGTCAGGTCTCAGCGGCTTCCGAGCTATGGCCCTGCGCGCCACGGCACCGGGGACGCGAGCCGGAGGCCGAGGATCGCCCGCGGTCCCCTCGCTCACCCCGGGGTTGCTGCCCTCGGGAGCCGGGCCCGGGCCGGCTCCCGGCGGGCCCCGCACGTACTTGGCGCGGTCGGCCGCTAGCCTCTCCACCGCGCTCCTGCGTGCTGGCACCACCGCGTCCCGGACCCTGGGGGCCTCGGGGTGCCGGGTCAGCAGTCGCTCGTTGCGGGGCGCGTCCAGGGCTGGCAGGGCACGCATCCTCGGCGCTCGGCTGGTGCTCCGCGCCCCGTGGAAACGCGCTCCGCCTGCGCTTCCTGTGCGTCTCTGGCCAATTCCGAAGTCCGCGCCGGGTGGGGAATGGCGCCCAAGTGCCAGCCGGCCCAGGTCCAGAGTCTGGGCAAACCCGAGTCTGCACCTATTGGCGACTGGCCCCAGCACACCCGCCCCGCTCCCCCCCGCCCGCCCTCACCTCCTTCCCGGCACAGCTCCGGGTTCAGTACCGCCCCTTGTCGGGCTCCAACCCTCACCTTCCGCCGGGCCCCGCCTCTCACCTCGCGCGGGGTATCCACCCCAGGTTCCGCCCCCAGCACCTCGCGGCTGCGCAGCCAGTCGCCCGGAGGACCGCGGCGCGGACTGCGGCTAGGGGGCTGCGCGACCAGGAAGGGCTCTCCCGCGCGGGAAAGCCCAGGCGGTCCCCCGGGGCGGAGGAGCCCGGAACAACTGAGTTCGTTCAGCCCCCGGTATCAGCCGCCTCCTCCCCTCCAACGGCTGCCTGGGGTCACCGCTGGACGCTGGCACTTCCGGAGTGGGGTAGGGCAGGGTGACCCGGCTGGCTGTCCCCACGCCCGAGCTGGTGTCCTACGTCCTTTGCATTTTTAAAGTGACCTCTGCGTGTTTCGAAACTTTTGACTTTCCTTAATTTTCTAAGGATTACTCCTGAGCACGTACTCTTACCAGAAAGGAAACGGATATAAAAGGAAAGAGGACTCATTGGACCACAGGGTTAGGCTATGTGTCAGGTAAAAAGAATCTGGGAACACAGCAGAGACCTGGATTGAGTTCAGACACGGTCACTGGCCAGCCATGGGTCAGACCAGGCCACCAGGTGCGGAGCCTCATGGGAAGAACAGGCTGGTGGTAGAGGTGAGGCTCGAGGGAGTTGGGAAAAAACGACTAAAATCCCAGAATGACTGCTGTTTTTCCTGTAACCAAGGCAATGGGGAACCGTTCACCAGGGCAGTGGATCAGCTTAGGAATGCTAAAAGTCTAAAAGAAAATATTTCCAAAATTCCATTTTTTCCAAAAGTTGGACAAAGGACAAAGTATTTGCTGGAGGAGTGAAATGTCCATTTTATCTCTTATGTTAAAGCCAACTCCAAGATACACTGACCTTTCAAAGTTGTGGTTGAGTGCAACACAGCAGCCTGTGGATGGCGGACAGGAGGGTTCTCAAGGTCTGGGCGGATTTTGTCTCACCTCTTGAGTGCCGGTGGACACCAAAAGGGGCTGGTTGTGCGTCAGCAGTTGCAGCCCCGGCTGACTGCCATCGCCTGATGATCAGAGAACTGCAGCTCGGTTGGCCAATGGGTCTTTAGACCTTTAGTTCCTGTGAGGCTAAATCCCATAGTCAGGAATAGAAGCCCAACAAGAAACCAGGTATCCTGAGAGCCAGACCACCCAGATAGTATCCTGGGAAAATGTTATAGTCACGGGAAAAGAAGACTATGATCCATTAGGTAAGGGGGTTGGGGTGGGGGGAAGCATAGAGTAAGAGTGAGGTTTAGAGAGGGCAGCATGCTGGGTTGGGCACATTGTTTCCCACAGCTGATGGGAGCCCAAAGTCTAGCCTTTTTTTCCCCTCAGGCAGCATGGTCTCTTGTCAGAGGGGGGGAAAAATATATATATATATGTATATATATATATATATATAACATATATATATATGTTAAATTGCTTGGTCCAAAGTGGCTACCTTATTTAATTTGTACTTCTTCCTGTGCAATTACAGCAGTTCTGAGAGAACTCCTAAGCATGGGGCCCCTGGGATGTGTCTGAGCCCGGGTGCCTTATTTATTCACTGAGTCCTTTTGGACACATAACAAACCTTTCAGGATCTTTATTTTGTCATTTGTAAAATTCTCACTTTTATAGCTTAGAACATTCATTGCTTGATATTGAGCACTAAATAAATGTTAATCTGAACAACCCAGACTTAGGTTTCAGCTCTGTTTCCTCTTAAGGCTATAAGGCTGGACCCCTCAGTGCCTCTGGTTGCTCATCTATAAATCAGAGCTCATAATATCCACTTTGCTAAGGTTTTTGCTAAGTTAATGAGATTATGTACATAAAGGGCTTAGGACTACTTCTGGCACAGAGCAAATTGTCACTAAATGTTAAATTTATTATTTTGCTGATGATGGTATAAATTAGTTGCTTATCAAATTTTAAATACAGTTAGTAAATTTATGTGTGAGTACTGAACATATTAAGAATAAAAGTAAAACTATAAATGAAGTTCTATTTAAAACATTGCTGCTGGACAAAACTATATATCCATAATTTTCTACCCATTAGACATAATTTACTGGAAAAATGGAATAGTAAGATAATTACAAGAAAATTGCCTAAGTGTTTTTTTTTCCTAATAAAGATTTTATTTATTTATTTGACAGAGAGACATAGCGAGAGCAGGAACACAAGCAGGGGGAGTGGGAGAGGGAGAAGCAGACTTCCTGCTGAGCAGGGAGCCCGATGTAGGGCTCGATCCCAGGACCCTGGGATCATGACCTAAGCCGAAGGCAGACACTTAACGACTGAGCCACCCAGGCACCCCTAAGTAAAGTGTTCTTGTTGCTCAATTTGTAGCTTAAACTTTGACCTAATTTCCTTCCTGGTATCACCTCAAAAGACTTGGTCAGAGCAGGAGAAAGTGGTTATGGATCCAGTGATCCACAAACTCTATTTCTAAGAATTTATCGCAAGGAACCAAGAAGAGATGTGTGCACAGTATTAGGACTTTCATTGCAGACAAATAGTTGAAGTCAACCTACATTCAACAACAGGAGGAAGGGCTCGGTGATGTGTGATACTCCATGGGATAGTATTATCCAACGATTTACCATCATACTTCTACACAGTGTCTTATGGAGTAAGAAATTATCATAATATATGTGAATTTTTTAAATTATTACAAATATAGTAGCAGTCTGGATAAATTTCTAGAAACACAAAACCTCCCAAGACTACATCATGAAGAAATGGAAAATCTGAATACACCTATAACTAGTAAGGAGATTGAATCAATAATCAAATTTCTCCCAAAAAAGAAAAGCCCTGGGCCTGATGATTTCACTGATCAAACATTTAAAGAACTAATACCAATCCTTCTTAGCTTTTCCCCAAAAATCAAAGAGGAGGGAACACTCCCTAACTCACTCTATAAGGCCTGCATTATCCTGATACCAAAGCCAGACAAAGACACTGCAAGAAAACTACAGATCAATGCCCTGTGAACATCAATGCAAAAATCCTCAACAAAATTCTAGTGAACAGAATTCAGTAGCATATTGAAAATAACTGTATACACCATAACCAAATGGAATTTATTCTTGGAATGCAAGGATGGTTTACCATATGAAATTTGATCAAAATAATGTTCCACATCCACAGAATGAAGGAAAAAAAAACACATGATCATCTCAATTGATGCAGAAAAAAGCATTTGACAAAACAATACACTTTCATGAAAAAAACACTCAACAAACTAGGAATAGAAGGAAACTATTTCAACATAATAAAAGCCATTTGTGAAAAACCCACAGTGAATATCATATTTAATGATGAAAGACTAAATTTTTTTTTCTCTAAGATCAGGAACAAGGCAGGGATGCTTGCTTTTACTACTTCTATTCAACATAGTACTGGAAATTCTACCAGAGCAGTTAGGCAAGAAAAAGACATAAAATCATCCAAACTGGAAAAGATGAAGTAAAATTTTCTCTGTGTGCAGATGATATGATCTTATACATAGAAAACCCTAAATATGGTGTGCACATACACACACACATACTGTTAGAATGAAAAATTAAATTCCGCAAAGTATCAAGATACAAAGCCAATATAGAAAAATCAATTTCAGGGGCACCTGGGTGGCTCAGTC